CTTCCCTTAAGTACTGATTTAGCTGTATTGCACAGCTTGATATGTTGTGCTTTCACTATTATTCACTTTTAAGTATTTTCTAACTTCTCATGATTTTTTTTCTTTAAGCCAACCTTTATTTAGAAGTGTGTTAATCTCCAAATGCTTAGATTTTTTTCCCAGTTATCTTATGGTTATTGGTTTCTAATTTAATTACATTGTCATCAGAGAACATATTCTGTATGATTTCAATCTTTTAACTTGATTAGAATATACTTAATGGTCTCTCTCTCTCTCTCTAGATACACACACACACACACACACACATATTATACACACACACATGCATATATATATCCTCACTTTGCGTATTTTTTACATTTAAAGTGTTTCTTTTGTTTTGTTTTAATCCATTCTGACAATCTCTACCTTTTGAGTGTTTAGTCCATTAACATTTAACGTGATTATTGATCGGATCTAAATCTACCATTCATTATATGTTATATCTTTTTTTGTTCCTTGGTTCCTCCTTTCCTGTCTCTTCTGATTATATGAATTTTATATTTTAGAATTCTAGTTTAAGGGGTGCCTGGGTGGCTTAGTTGGTTAAGTGTCCGACTCTTGGTTTCAGCTCAGGTCACAGTCTCACGGTTTGTGAGTTCAAGTCCCATGCAGACTCTGAGCTAAAAGTACAGAGCCTCCTTGGGATTTTCTCTCTCTCTCTCTCTCTCTGCCCTTCCCCTGCGCTTGCTCTCTCTTTCTCAAAATAAATAAATAAAAACTTAAAAAAGAAAAAAGAAGGGGTGACTGGTGGCTCAGTCAGTTAAGCGTCCAACTTCGGCTCAGGTCATGATCTCACAGTTTGTGAGTTCGAGCCCCACATCGATCTCTGCGCTGACACTTCGGAGCCTGGAACCTGCTTTAGATTCTCTGTCTCCCTCTCTCTCTGCCACTCCCCCACTCGTGCTCTGTTTCTCTCTCTCAAAAATAAATAAACATTAAAAAACAGTTTTTTAAAAAAAGGAATTCTAATTTAATTTTCCTTTTGGTAAAGAGTTAATCTGCAATATTATTTTTCATTGTCCTGTGAATTATAATATACATTCTTATATTACACAATCCATTTACTGTTTAACATAATATACAGAAATCTTGCCATCTTATAGATCCATATCCCCCCACGTATCTTGTGGTAGTTGTTACATGTAATATATTTACATATATTATGAACTCTAGAAAATAATGTTATGATTTCACTTTTAAACAGATACATGGTTTATAAAGAAATTAAAAGGAAAAAGAAAAAAATAATCTTTTGCATTTCCCCAAGTAGTTTCCATAACCAATGCTCTTTATTCTTTCCTCAGGATCTAAGTTTTCTGGTATCATTTTCCTTTAGCCTGAAAAAAATTCATTCAGCATTTCAGTATTACATGTCTGTTGGTGACAAATTCTTAGGTTTTTTTTTTCTTTTTATCTAAAAACAACTTAATTTCACATTCATTCTTGATATGGTGTTTTTGCTAGATATAAAATTCTGAATGGACATTCTTTTCCTCTCTTTCAGTACCTTAAAGATGTATTACTCTCTCCTACAGCCTCCACAATTTCTCATGAGAAGTCAGCTGATTCAGATCATTGGTCCCTTTATGTAATAAGTCTATTGTCATTTTCAGAGACTGCTTCACCATGAGGTACCCTGCTGTATGTTCCTTTGTTCTTATTCTGCTTGCTGTTCATTTAGTAACTTGTATCTGCAAATTTTTGGTCAAAGTTTCCTCAAATATTTTTTGTACCTCATTCTCTCTCTCTTGTCTCCATCTGGTATTCCAATTACATGTATGTTTGATCATTTGACTTAACATGTCCCTAAGGCTTTGATCATTTTGTTTTCCAATCTTCCAATTTATCTTCAAGTTTTACATATTCTTTCCTCTATCATGTCCATTTAGCTGTAAAGTACATTCAGTAATTTTTTTTAATTGCTAAAATTGCATTTTTCAGTTCTAGGATTTCCCTTTGACTTTTTATTACTGTTTCTACTAGAACTTCCTACTTCTCTACTGAGATGTTCATACATTTAAAACATCTTTCTACTTTATTCAAGATAGTTCTAATAGTCCACTTAAAATATTATCCTTTAGTTCCAACATCTTAAGGGATCAAACTAAATTGACTTTCATTTTACTTAAGGATGTACTCTGCTTTTTTTACTTCTATGTATGTTGGGTGAAGTTAGACTGCATCATCAATTTAATTCTGGAGATTTTGGATTCTATTATTTTTTTCCACTGGGTACTGTTTCCTTTGTTTGCATTATGTAATTTTCTTGGCTGAGCTTGTACTACAAACTGTCTCTTATGCAACAACTTCACTCTCTGTTCAGATCTTTTTTCTTTGGCTGTAGTTAATCTGTTTCATATATACATGGTTATGGGTTAATCAAAGATGGAGGTAAAAAAGCTTGGGAATCCCCTCCCTGGCCCTTTTTCTTCTGAACTTCCCCCCTACTATTTTCATTGTTCTCAATTTCCTGGCTTCAATTTTCTGGTTCCCCAATCCATAAAGACAAAGTTTTCCTATGCTTGCCTCTACCTTTGTGCTGAGTGAACTGTACTTAATCCCAGGCTCAAAGACCATGGAGATGGAATTTATTTTTTTACACCTCCCCTTTCCCCAATCTACACACTAGCACGAACTCCCCCACCCAGAGTCTATATGCTTCGTTCATTCTCCAGTATCTTCAGATAGTTGTCTTTTGTATAACATTCAGGTTTTGTAATTGTTTTCTACAGGCAGTATCATCCCGTTAGACTGTAGTCCTACATATCCAGAAGTGGAAGTTAATTTGTTCATAAAAAAATTAAAAACTGAATCACAGACACTCTATTAAAGAAGTTTCATTAATGAAAGGTAACTTTAAATGATGCTCACAAACTGTTTTCAAGTAACAACACTCATCAGATTAACTTGGATAAGAAATAATTAGGACATCAATCCATGTGTCCTAAGAATCCACTATGTGCTACTTTGTTAAGGTAAGCTACAGAATGGTCTTCATGAGAGGCTATGAACAGGAAAAACCACAGAAAACATAACTCAAGAGGTGACCAATGGAAGGCTGGGGCAAGGCAAGATAAAGCAACACTACAAGTAACATTATTATAATAGAACCAAATGGATTAGATATATAATACAGTATGGTGTTGTAGGCTATAAACAGTTCAATGAAGAGCAAGAGCTTCTGGAGGAGTTAGTTTAAAGAGGAAGAATCCCTTAGCCTGCTGCATACACTATGGCCTCCCAGCCAATGACTTTCTAGAAACCCTGGGAAACAGATTCTTCCATATGCAGCACCCATCTGAATTCACTCATACAAGTATCTTTCTTCTCTGGGAGAAAAGTAGGAGCAACTATGTACCACTGTGCTCTTCCTATTCTACCCATTACCTAATTACCCCTCCCCTCCTACCACATAAGACTCAATAGCTAACAGGGCAACTTGGAGTATATGTATACACACATATACATACATACATACATATTTGAATACTGAAATTTCTAGGATTTCTAAAAGACTTAAAAGCTTATTTTCTTAGGAAATTAAAAGTTTACCTCTTCAATCTTATATACTTGCATATGCTTATTTATGCTATTTATTTAGATTGTCTTGTTCCAAAAGGAATTTAAAGTAGCTAATTAAGACGAATATAATCTTGCAAGGTAAAAAACAAAAACAAAAACAAACTTTAAATGTATGTAAAATTAAGCTAAGTAAAATATGGGTAGAAGGATGAAGTGTTTCTTTTTACAAATTTGTAAAACCCTTTATAGATTGTCTTTGTTTTGCTTTAAACAGTGTTTCCTTCATTTTTGCAGAATCAAAAACAGCAGAATCTAAATTATATTCTATTTGAAGATGTGCTGTTTTCAATATTGACATGGTCGAATAAAGCTAGTATTACTAAGCATACTCTAACAAAAGAAGTCTTTCTTAAAAAGTACAAGTAAGAGGCAGAGTAAATGCTATATTCATTCAGACATATTCACTCATATGCACATTTTGTATAGGTTCATATAATACAAAATGTTTCTAATATGATATATGGGTAGACACCCAGGTTAAAGACAGAAATGCTTATCACTGACAGCTAATTACCTGAATACAGTGAAATGTCTGTTACTGAGTCTTACAGGATTGAAAATGCTTTTAATACAAGTTATAAGGTTAATGTGTTCTTTAAAACATACTCTATTTTAAATAACATATGCAGCATATCTTATAATAAATACCTAACTATACTTTGCTAACTTTCTCAGGTCCTAGTGAACCCTACTGTAAACAAATCTGTGCCAGTATTTAATCAGTATTATAATCAGCTAGAAAGTCATGTCCAAAAGTATTAGTTCCCAAAAGTTTCCAAAGGACCCTATATTAACACATCTTATCAATAATGTGGTCCAGAACTGTTCTACCCAATATGATAGTCACTAGCTACCTGTGGCTATTTATATTTAGCAATAAATTAGCTAAAATTAAATACAATTAAAAATTCAGTTCCTCAGTCATACTAATTACATTTCAAGTGCTCAAAGGTCACATGTGGTTAGTGACTACCATATGAGTGCAAATTTAGAGCATTTCCATTACTTTAAACTTCTCTTGGATAGTGCTGCTGGTCTGCAGGTTTGGCCCAGGAGACACAGTAAGGCTCATCTAGAAGACTGAAAGATTCTGACAATTAGCTAAAACCCCAGAATGTCTTTCTTCTTTAATATTTATGTATTGAGTTTCCAAATTCAAAGAATTAATATTTAATAGCAACAAATTCTGTAGCAATAATCTGTCTGTGATTATTGGTATTCTTTCTAAAAGATATATTAGACAATTAAGAACATAGGAAATTCAGATCCCATATTAAAAGATAAATTCACATGTTTTTAAAAAGATACAAAATATACGAAAAGTTAGTATTATGATATATTCATAGGGCCCAGCAGTATACTTTTACACAGAAATCTATTGACTATCTAGGTGAACCACATAATAATTACCAAATATCATATAAGGTACCTGTCTAATACCATGTTGTTTTCTTTAGGAGTAGAAAAAGACAAATGCAATAAGAGCTTGTGGAAACACAAAAAGGAGGTACAGGAAATGATTCTGTGGCAGACAGAAGGTTCAGTTCAAAGGTTTTCAATTATTTTAATAAATGCTTGCCATTATCTTCTGACTGTAGGCGTGCCTGCTAAGATTTGTAAGCCAATATTAAAAATGTCTCATTTACTATGTAGTAATTACACACTGAGCCATATTTAAACAAGGCAACCCACACATTTTTCATTGCCAAAATGCATCAAGGTTAAAAACAGATGCTGCACTTTTTCTGCCAAAATTTGAATAACATAAAATATGTGTATCATATCAGAGCTTAAGATTAATATATAAATAAGGTAATTAAGCAGACAAAAAGGTGACATCAAAAATTCTGTTAGATTTTTGATGGATAATTTTAAAAATAATATTTGTATATTTCATACAAAGAGAATGAAAAATTTTACATTTTAAAAATAAATGAATTTTTAAAGAAACAGACTTTCCCACCAAAGGTGACTTACTGAATCATTTCGACCAAAAAAGGTATATATTGCATACAAGTAATAATCAAATAGCTGAGACATGAAATGGATAACATCAAAGGCAATTGGCTTAAGAATGTTCATCATCTGCATATATTTACCTGAAAAAAATCAAAATTAGAAAAAAATTAAAATCTGTTAAGTCTATCATTATAGAGACACTATATCAAATGTATTTTTTAATGAAATATTACATTCCTAGTCCCATTAGCCATTTTCAAGTACTCAATAGTCATTTGTGGCTAGTGGTTATTGTACTGGACAGCACAGATACAGAACAGTTACAGCATCTTGGAAAGTACTACTGGAGAGCACTGACATAAATAATACCTACAAAAATATTTTTATACTAATATATTTTACTGTTTGTCAAATATTCATGGAACATCTATACTCTTTTATAAATAACACAGCACACACTATAGTTCCACATTCTTGGATTCCATTTGAAATAATTTCTTCCAATAAAATAAAATAAATTAAAAAAAATTTTTTTTAATAAATTAAATAAAATAATTTCTTCAAAAATGTTTAGGCATAATAATACCAAAGACAATGTACTTGAAAAAAAGCTTTTCCTTTTTCACAAGCTTATATACACAGAGCAAAAGTAAAAAAGCAAGAAGAAAAAGGACACATAGAAGGCACATCCTATTCCCTTGAACCCTAGCCCTGTGAAATCTTGTGTCAGAGGCCAAGAACATTTCTTTATCACTACATCACTCAAGAGCTCAACACTCTCAAAGTGCCAAAAAAATGTCCTATTCGTTCCTTCCTTTGGGAGATGCCAATATTATGTTCTCTTCTCCCTAAACATATGACACAGTTACAGAAAAAAATATTTAAAAACTCAAATCTCAAAAAAAAGTAAAATGAAAAAAATAAAACCTCAAATCTCTACATTTATAAACTTGTTAATGTATTTGAAGGGTGCACGGGAGATGGGCTGAATCAAGTAATAAATAATAACAAGTCCCTAATTGTGTTTCTTTTTTATGGGGAATAATAGGGAAAGAAGCACATCTATTAAAAAATGCTCTTCTGCAGAAGATGTTAAAACAGGCCATTTGCTTAATTTCCAAATGAGCAAATAATTCAGGTGCTCACTCTACTTAATGTAACTGCTATAAATTTTAAATTGGTACTATTGAAGACACCATGACTCAAGAGAAAACACATTAACTGCAGTAGAAAAAAATTTACTCTAATGGAAATATCTACTATGGAAACCATTTCTTTATTATTTAAGAACTCAGTACAGCTGCTTTAATTTACATACGAAATGATTCTAAACAATACTCAGATGGTCAGGAAAAGAAACACACACACACACACACACACACACACACACACCAAAAAGTAAAAACCATTCAACTCAGATTCTATTCTTATTCTTATTTGTAAGTCTTTTGTTTTAGAATCATGATTTGTAATTATTTCACACAGACTTTTTTAAAAAAATCACAATGGAAAAATATTTGAAAATTATGCTCCTAGAACTTTCTAGATCACTATGCAGGTATTTCATCAATTACAAACATGTAGGTTTTAAACTGCAACTATTTACACAAAAAATGTGACACTGAAAACAATTTTAAAATATCATGTTTTAATTGATATCTGTTTTGAGATATCAATTAGAGAGAGAGATAATAAGAGATGATAAGTAAAATGAAGTAGAATGCAAATATCTGGGTTAATATATATCCAGAACACAAAGCTCCTCTCCATTACTAGTAAGATTAACCATTGTTTATATAATTAATCTTAAGGAAGAATATATAAATGAATTATTAATAGGTAAAGCTATTTTAAATGTTGCATTCAAAAGAAAAAAAAACTAGATAAAAACCCACCACTCTCAAAAAAATGTTTAAATATATTTATATTCATTCATTCAATTCATTCAACAAACAATTTCTGAAGGCTTATTATGTCCTTGGCTTTGTGTTAAGACACAAGGTGTTAGAGTCCCTGCTCTCATACCTTAAATGGTCAGATGAGGGAGGCGGCCATCGATATGCAGGCTGCCAGCATATTAAAACATAAGAATAAGAATAAGAATAAGAATAAGAATAAGAATAAGAATAAGAATAAGAATAAGAATAAGAATAAGAATAAGAATAAGAATAAGAATAAGAATAAGAATAAGAATAAGAATAAGAATAAGAATAAGAGCTCTGTTCCAGTTCATGAGGGCACAGTAGGCTTTTGGAGGCTGGAGGAGGCCTATGTACCTTCTCAGAATTACTGAATTAAAAGAATTTTACAGTAGTTTAAGCCTGTATCTATGAAGAGAAAGGGATGAGGAGGGAAAGGCGAGTAGGTATGATCACCAGAAAATGAGAAATCTCGAAAAATTTCTACACCAAGCAATTTCTAAATTGGTAAACCTTTGTGATAAAGGACCAAAGAGTACATAGTTTTAGGCTTTGCATGCCATACAGTCTATGTTGCAACTACTCAGCTCTGCTGGTCTCTGTTTCAACTACTCAACTCTGCCTTTGTAGCACAAAAACAGCCATAGACAATATGTAAACAAATGAGCATGGGTGTATTCCAATAAAACTTTATTTACAAAAACAGGTAGCCTAACTCACTTGACCTGCATGTTATAGTGTCCCAACCCCTGTCTGGATGACACATAAGAGACAGGAGAGTTTGACGGAATAATACAAAGAAATCCATAAACCACAAGACGACCATGAAGGAGATAAAAGCTATTCTGTAGGATGGTGACTGCTTAGACTTGGTGGGCAGTGCAAGAGGGCAGGAGCCAGAAATAGAGCTGAGAAAGGATGGATTCATTAAGGGTCCATTACCCTTAAATTACCATTCAGCACGTCTTCCTCTATCACTATCCCTCACCAACAATAGAGTAGAGGCTACCAGAATATTCCCAAGGAAAAAACAAAAGAAAACAAAAACTCTTAGGATTTCTCTCAAAAAGAAGTAAATAAATGACATGAACAAACCAAACAAAAAAACTGAGCAAAATTAAAAAAAAATAATAAATTAGAAAGGCAAAGGCTTCTAGTGTGCATGTTAGCACCACAGATTAAAATCTACCTAATTCTAAAAATTGGGGGATCTGTCCCCATAAAGTAAAGATTGCTAGTAAATCCACCCAGCCTTGCCCGGTTCTATAGGAAGTTCCCAGTCAGGATCCCTACTGAGGAGAAAGGGGCAGGAAGAGCATAGCTCTCATTACTCAGCAAGGGACACCCACAGCAGCTATGCAGGCCTTCTATTTTGGATTTGAAGAGGTCATCAAAAATCACCAGTCCCAGAGAGTAAAAGTAAAAAGAAATGCTGATCCCAGAGAAAACAGTAAGTCAAGCTAAAGAAATGTAACAATTATATAAACCTTATAACAGAAGAATATGGGGGGTGGGGGGAAAGAATACACAAGGGCTCTTTTTTTTTTTTTTAAATTTTTTTTTTCAACGTTTTTATTTATTTTTGCGACAGAGAGAGACAGAGCATGAACGGGGGAGGGGCAGAGAGAGAGGGAGACACAGAATCGGAAACAGGCTCCAGGCTCTGAGCCATCAGCCCAGAGCCTGACGCGGGGCTCGAACTCACGGACTGCGAGATCGTGACCTGGCTGAAGTCGGACGCTTAACCGACTGCGCCACCCAGGCGCCCCACACAAGGGCTCTTAAAGAATTTAAGTGATTTTAAAATTAAAAATGAAAGAAAAAAATGGAAAAATGGAAGTCTTCTAGAAGATCGAGAAAATACAGGAGACATAAAGGGGCCAATCTAAAAGACCAACACTTAAGCAATGAGAAATCAAAGAAAGAGAGGGTAGAGAAAATGGGGAAGTGGAAATCATCAAATAAATAGTAGCATTAGTCACAGCTGAGGAGCATAAGAACTTTCAGATTGAAAAGGGTCACGAACTACCCAACACACTTAATGAAAAATAACTCACACCTAAACACATCAGCAGAGATTTCTGAAACATCAAGGAAAAAAAAAATACTAAAAGCTTTCAGAGAGAGAGAGAGAGAAAGAAGAGAGAGAAAAGAAATTCAACTACAGTAAAATGAGCAGAACACTACAGGTTTCAACTTTCTGAGGAAAAATAATTCTTAATCTGTAATTCTATTATGCACAGCTGAATTGTCATTCCGTGAAAGGGCAGAATAAAGACATTCAAAATGACAAGAATTCAAAACATTTACCTCTCATTACTCTTTCCTGGGAAATTGCAACTAGAAGACAAACAAAAACAGACCAAGAAATTGCCTCCAGGCTGGTGGTAGGGAGGCCTGGGGTGGGAGACTGCTGTTTCCTCACAATCTCTTCTTTACTATTTACTGCCTTACAGTGAGAATACTACCTTAATAAAAGGGTAAAAGCAAGGCTCTGAAGTTAGCCGGCCTCGTTTAAAAATGTGGTCGGTCAGTGAATGGAGATGTGGTTCAGATGCACTCCACCTTCTCTTCCTTCCCTTCTAGAACTCCCTTCAGAGGACATGAGAGTGGAGTGCACAACAGCATGCTTTGGAAACATGGAGGAAGGTTACTTAATACACAGCCCAGATGGATGCAGGACTGGCTGATGCCTCAGGAGGGAGGACCTCAGGCCCCATGTGAGGAGGGTTCCTGGCTTTGTGAGAGAAAGAATTCAAGAGCAAGCCACTTAGAGGAAGGGACAAGGATTTATTAAATATAAAAGTAAGCAAGGAACTACTTCACAAAGTAGCAGTCTCTCCTCCCAGGTGAGAAAGAGGACCCCGCCCCCCTCCTTTGCCTCTAAGGAAAGGTTTTATAAGTTTTATTTAAATTAGCTAACCATATAGGGAGGGGTTTAGTCTTTAACTTAGGTTTTATCATTCACATTGGGCAGTTTTTCCATTGTTTTAGGGTTATGGAATTACCCACAGGAAGCAATTTTAAGAAAGTCCAGCCTGTGTAGCTTTTTACTGCTGGAGAGAGTGAGGCTTATGGTTTTCCATGAGTCTGATCTTGTGACTCTTTTTATGACCTGCTGCTTTTAGGTTAAGGGTCAGTCTAAAATCAAAATGGCTATACTTCGGTCAACTTGTCTCCCTAGCCTCCCTTCCCTCCTGCCTCAAGATGACTAAGAAAAG